TCCCAGACTGTTTGGTATGAAACTGAAATTCTTGAGTTTTATTTATTTTTTTCTGCCTACCCATGTTTCTTTACTCCAGATTTTGAAAACATTTATCCATGTAATTGAACCTAAAATTAATTTCAAAAAAAATCAGTTCATAACATTATTGTAATTATAATCTATTAACAAAAAAATGTAGCTCGACATAGTTCTGGAATTTGAGAAACCCTAAGATTTTAAAGATAATGGCTAAATGCATTTACTTAACTTTTATAGAGCGCCAATGAAATTGGTCACATCTGGTATCTCTTCTAATTAGTAGGCAACCTGGAATATAATGTCCTCTTTATCAAAAAATAAAACTTGTTCAACTGGTTCAGCTATCTTAAGCTGACTAAGTTCACATTGTAGCTTGAAGTTGATGGTGGTGATGTCTACCAAAATATAGGTATTTTAGGTACTATTCTCAAACTCTAAAATATTTAGACTGTTATAAGTACTATTGAGTAATAAAGTGGGAGATAAAAAGAAAACATAGGGGAAAAATCAGCTGTAATTGTCTACTTTCCTTAGTAGATGACAGAAAACATTTAAAAAATCAAATTATACAAATGTAATTTTTAAAATAAAATATAAAAATGCAAGTTGCTTGCATTTAAAAGATTCATCTAAATTGAACCTTTTATTTTACAGATTAGAAAACTGAGCCCAGAGAGGAGAAATTGATCAAGCTAATACTAGAATTCAGATTTTCTGGTTCCTGTTCCATTCAAAGTATACATTTTTGTATGATGAAGTGACACCCAAAATTTAATAGGATTTGGTGAATAAAGTTAGTAATTATTTCCCCTCTCCATTGAAATATTTTCTAGAGATTTTACTCATGGTCAGCTGATTTCTTGTTTTGAGAAACCTTTTTCTGAAAGGAAAATTGGTGTTTAGTAATTATGTGGATAATATGTGCTAAATTTTTATTAGGCTCTAAGTTAAGGAAACAAGCCTGCTTGGTTTTTTTTTTTTTTTTACATTAAGGTTTGCTTTATGTTTTCCCCCTTATTGGCCTCTTTTTGGATTTTAAGCTGATAGCATGACAATCTATTTTAAGGGTTTTTCAGCACAGAAAAGGTGGTGTAAAATGTTTATTTCTTATTTATACTGATGTATTCAATAATTCTAAAAATATCTTGAATTTAAGAGAAATTATTGCATAAGTAGACACTAGTGAGATACAAGTGTCATGAATTACTTTGCATTCTTGAAATTTAATTCTGTTATTCTGTTAAAAAGATTAAAGAAACTTATTTAACTTATTTACAAACATTCAAAACGTTTGGAGTTTTTTTCAAAATTTGCTGTTTATAATGTTAAAAAAACTTTAAAATATCGTTTTTTATCAAATTTTTGTTTTTTAAAATATAATTTCAACATACTGTTAACCACCTGGCATTTTACCAATTTTTTTTTTAAGTGATATATAGCACACCAGTGAAATTAACTTTATTGTAACAGTGTGAATGATTTACAATCTATATTTAAAGTGCTTTATAATTGAGAACAAACTGTTACTGGTGGAGATGTGTCTGACTCTTATCCACATATAATCATGCTCCGTATAACAATGTTTCAGTCAATGACAGACCACATATTCAGTGGTAGCCCCATAATAATATAATGAAGCTGAGAAATTCCTATTGCCTAGTGATATTGTACCTGTTCTAAGATCGTAGCACAACACGTTACTCATGTGTTTGTGGTGATGATGGTGTAGAAAAATCTTCTGCGCTGCCAGTCATGTGAAAGTATAGCACATACAATTATGTATAGTACATAGTATCTGATAATAATAAGTGACTGTTACTTGTTTATGTATTTACTATACTATACTTTTTATTGTTATTTTAGAGAGTACTCTCTAAAAAAGATTGCTGTAAAGCAGTATATTGTGTTATGTCAACAGCACCTTATGTATCTCAGTGCTTACTGCGTTTCTTGATTACATAATTTTCTTGGGCTTGATTTAATCTCGTGTTGCTTTTTACAGGAACATGCTATACAGGCTTTAGCCTAGGTGTGTAGTAGTCTATACCATCTAGGTTTGTGTAAGTAAACTCTGTGACGTTCCCACAAAATCACCTAACAATGCATTTCTCAGAATGTATCCTGTTACGTAGTTCATGACTTTCGTTCATTCTTGCCTTCTCTCCTTGCTTATCTGTGACTTTTCCTCTCTTACAGTGGGAAACCTCTTGCAGTTGGGCCCGTACCAACCACCATCTGTTTTACTTATTTTTTATGTCCAATATGCATGCATAGTAGTTTCAGAATTATTAACCCATAGCCCTGTGAGGAATTACTTTACCAATTAGAATACAGTGTTTATTAGAGTTCTTTTTTTATTCTTATAGTTAATAGTCAAAACACCCAGTTACTTAGGTCAGCACCATTTCTCATACCACCTCCTTCAGTGTGGCTGTGCCATATATTTGTAATATAGTTACAGTTGATTTTTAAAATTTGGATACATTCACATTCACTCTTTATGTTGTGAAGTTCAGTGGATTTTAACACATGCAAAGCGTCAGGCTACCAGTCAAGCTACCTACCACTCCAGTACCGTGTGGAATAGTTCATCTCTTATTTAAAAGTTTCCCTGTGTGTTCTCTCTCTTTTTTTTTTTTTGGTCAGTTGCTCCCCTGCACTCCTCTTCAGTGCCCTGGCAACTACTGATCTGTTTTCTATCTCTGTTAGTTTTGCCTTTCCAGGCCTTTCCAAAATGTTACATGAATGGAAGTATTTGATGTGTAGCCTTTTTGGCCTGGATTCTTTCCTTTAGCAAAATGTATTTAAGATTCATCCATGTTGCATGAATTAATAATAGCTTGTTCTTTTTTTTGTCGAATAGAATTCTATTGTATTATGTACCATTTTGTTTGTTCACTTTTTGAAGGGCATCCTCATTGGTATAAACATTCATGTATAGGTTTTAATATGAACATAATTCACTTTGGTAAATACCCAGGGGCACAGTTGCTGAGTTGTATGATAAGTCTGTTTAACGTCATTAAAAACTGCCTAACTTTTCTGGAGTGGCTATATTTGTCTTCAATTTGAAAGATATTTTAGCTGGATTTAGACTTTTTGGTTGATAGTAGTTGTTTTCTTCCTGTAGTTTAAAAATGTTGATCTACTCTCCCCTGATTTGCATTGTTTCTGATGAGAAGTCTGCTGTCATTCCATCTTTGTTATTTCTTTCTGTATGTATTTTTTTTCCCCTTCTAGTTGCTTTAAGATTTCTCTATCACTGTTTTTCAGTAGGTTGACTCTAAAATGATGAAGTATTTATTTTGTTGTTTTTGGTGGTTGCTGAAATTCTTGAAACTGTGAGTTTACAGTTCTCGTCAAATTTAGGAAAAATTTGCCCTTTGCTTTTTATATTTCCTGCTCTTCCACTCTTTCTGGAATACTAGTTACATTAATGTTAAGCCTATTTGATATTGTCCAACAGTTCACTGTGTCACTTGATATTGTCTCACAGCTCCTTTCTTTCCTAGTCCCCTTTCTCACTGTTTAATTTTTCTGTTGCTTTGTCTTCAAGTTCATTAAACTTTATGAATAACCTAATTCCTTGCTAGATGGTAAGAATTACATTTATAGTAGTAAATATACTTATGCTTTAAAACAACCTTCATTATTTTTGAGAGACACATACTTAATTCCAGTGCTACATATAAAGTTGGTAATGAGCAATTACATTTTTGCCATAGAACCAGGCAAATACTTCAGCACACATATACAATGTAAGATGATCAAAATTAAGTCAGCGTATGGCATTCACTAACTTTGTGGTCAAACATAAAACAAGAAACTAAATATAAGTTTTCATTATGTGGATTCTTTTTAAAACTGTAATAATGTTGATTCTTAATGATGTGTTTTCCTCGAAAATGTTTCTGCCTTTATTAGATTGCTTTTTAGAGGTAATCCATATGTATGTATGTGTGTCTGTGTTTATTGGTTTTAATAAAATTGATTCATACTTTTTATGAATTTAAATTAAATGTTTTTATTATCCTCTCCAAAGTAAACTTTATATGATGTTAAATAATTGCTCTAAATTAGAATGTATTTTTAGTGGTTAGCAACTATTATTAGATCAATAGTTATACTTAACTATCTCCCTAGGGTAAGCATTTTACTAAAACTTAGTTGAGAAACATTTGTCTTAAAAATGTATACTTATAAATTCTTTGTAGATAACACTTAAAGATTTTTGATCTCTCATTTTCAATTTACATTTTTTAGTTAGCATCTCTAGTGACCATCACCTCTGCTTCAATGATATTTTTGTAACTGGTGTACACAGTGTCCAGTCATTTTGGACTTATTTATCTTGGTTCAGGTTAAGAAACAAGCCCCGTTGTTTTTCTGCTGTAGTGTAATAATAATAGTAAAACAGATTCTATTAGAGCACTCTTCATTGGAGTAGATTTTAATTATCAAGTTAGATGTGCATCTATTAATCATCATAAAAACGTTTCATCTTATAGCATAGGATGATCTTATAGCATATAAACTGAATGAATGTTATATAAGTAAGCAAATCCCTTGGGGAGGCAAGGGATTTGAAATTAAATGGCAGAATCTGAATTAATTGGATATTTCTGAGACAGGAGAATATTATTTAAAGGAAATAGATCAGTCGAGGGCTGTACTTTTTTGTACACTTCATTTTTATTTACTCTAAGTTTCTTCCTTGTTTGTGTGAGGTCTGGCAGACAGTTTTAATTGGAGAGAGTAGAAGTAGGAAGGAAGAGTTTTTTGTATTTAATAATTTCGATCTCAAAGTATATCTGCCAGTCTAGCCTTCCTCAGATGGTTAAGAGGAATATCAGTTAGTATATAAAAAATGTACGCTTTGTTTTTGTTTTGTTTTATATGTATCATATTAGATATTTTTGCTACTGTTCATATATTTACATGTTAGTAATTTTGACGGCTTTTGGATAATTCCACTCTAGAGGGAGAACTGGTGGGCGGTCCTTCCTGTGACACGACCCTTGAGTGACAGTTCTGTTTGATTGCCTCCAGTACTGTGAGGAAAGGACACGACTCTATGGTGAGGACTGATGGACATACATTATCTGAGAAAAGAAACTACCAGGTAAGCCCAATTCTTTTTCCTTTTTCTCTATTGGTCATATAGCTACATTGAACTGTTTAATGTGTTATATTTAACTGGAACCAGTAGATTGGATAGACCTCAATTTGAAAAATTTGGGTTATAATTTAAAATATATATGTTGGATTTGACAGGTAAAATAGTTGCAGACATTTTTCAAAATAAAGCATACTTATAATAAATGTATATTCTTTATTGTCAAAACAAATTTTCTGTTGTGTGTATATGTCAAAACTTAGATTATCTGATACACAATTTATAACATCATGGCTGGATTCAGAGCTAGTATTCCATAAAACAAAATATTGATTGCTTCTATACATATTATCTCTGAAAGACTAAATTTAAAGCTTTATGCTCTATTCAGGGTAATGGAGCATCACAGAAATGTAGACAAAATTGGTTAGCATATAGAAGAAATAGAAATGAAAATCCCAGGATGCTCAGAGACCCAAATTCTATTTAATTTGTTATTTACTTGCTGTTTTTATAATGCTAGATTCTTTTCTCATTTATTAAATAAGTTAATATCCATCCCCTATGTAGTGTCAAAGGATGGTTAAAGTGGAATATTTCTTTTTTCTTTCTTAGCTTTTAAAAGGAGGTGAATTTTAAAGGTAGTGATTAAAGGAAAACATTTGAATTTAATTTCTTCAAAGAAAATATTTTTTATTCATTTGATAATAATCTTTTATCAAATTATTCAGAATACAGATAGTTTAAAGCCCAAGTAGGAATAAGCTTTAGGCTTCATGCACAGATACATATACAACCTCCTTGTCTCCCTTCCACCAACCAGTTTCATTACCTCGAGGCTGTGAAGACAACTAGTTTGATAGCAGCAGCTTTGGTTAATCTGCTGATCATTTATTTTAGCTCAGTTAATTTTTTCTTCTTTCGAATTGGAAAAGTGAAGAAAATTGTTTATGGGTATTCATGGTGTAATGGCAGAGAGCCTTTGATTATAAGCCTTAGGTTCTGATATGGGCATTGTCTCTAATAAAAAGTAGTATCATATTTAACCTTTCTAGAGTTTCACCTGACTTTCTGTCTAAAGTTTCTTGCCAGATCTTTATGATTTTAATAAGCAACAGTAAGCTATGTGGAATCGGTTCTCCCTGTAACCCTTTCTGTTCTGAATTCTCATAAGACTTTACCAACACGGCCTTCGCTAATTATTTATACCTGCTGTAGCAACTCCTGTCTCACAACCACTTCCAACTACCTTGACTCAAAAGATTTTAATTGGTCACAGCACTTGAGCTGTTGCATCTTTTGATAGGTTACGGTAAATTATTTTAAGAACATTGTGATTCTAGTTTATGTGGCTTTTCAGTGCTCATAACCCACTTTGTAAAGAACTTTGTATGATTGCACAGTGTGGTTAATTTACTTAATGGAACCATATTAATATAGAATTCCAAAATTTGCACTTGGGAATAAAATGAGATTGTTTTACACATGAAGAGGGTTCATAATTCCTGCTCTTTTACTCTAAAAATAGTTTATTGTTTCAGTCACATTATTTACAAATAACCCAGGTTTTTGAGATTAACTGAAAAATGCATTCATGGCTGAAAATATTTTTCCTTTTCTTTTATTGTTACTTATTGACACTTAACACATGTTGAAATACCCTTGGAACAATGGTTTAAATCTCCATCATAAAATTATTTTTTTTAAACATTCTGAAAAGTACACGTATAAAAATACAATTTTCTGTCTGACATGAATATATTAAGCACATATGAGAAATTCAAAAGAATATTAAATCACTTACATTTGTCTTGGTCATGCTAAGAGTTTGTATATGCTGAGGTAAAATGACTTGGATTTTTAAAAATCCCATTTTGGAGGAATTTTTTATTTCCTGTTTTTTATGGAAAAGTGGTATTTCTTTGTATCCATGTTGATACTCATTTTATCTTGGAGGGCTTTTGTGTTTGGAAAGCACTTGATGTCTTATAGTGATATTTAAGCATCCTGATAATAGGCTAATATTCCAGAGTTTAAAAGAATAATATTTCTCTAATTCCCATTTCCTTATAGACCTGATTAAATAAAGCCCCAGGAATTTAGTTTAGGAAGGTGCATTTCCTCAGCTTTGTGCTAAAAATATATGACTTTATGATGGGTATTGGTTGAAGTATTAATTTTTATTCTATTATATAGTCTGTGTTTTATTTCTTACTATAAATTTAAGCCCAGTTCAGTTTTAGGAGTTTGAATAGAGTTGTTGAAGTTTATTTGCATAGATAGACTGGCATACCTTAAGGTAAGATAATTTAATTATTTAAATAGTTCACAATTCATTCCTTTTTTAAAAGACTGTCAAGCTGTTTTCAAGGAAATATAACTCTGATTTTTTTGCCAAATATTTCTTCCTTTGATTTATACTGATTTACTCCAGCTATGAGCATGTTCACATATAACCATGTTAATTATCAGTTTAACTCATCAGTGGCTTTCCGTCTTACATAAAAAAGCTAAGCTCCTAAACATTATATGTTGTCTTTCCACATTCTGATCCTTACATCCTTTTACCTTTCAAGTGTCTGTCCTCTGACTCCCTATAGTGAGTTTATCCATTTAATAATATAGAACTGCTTTTAGTCTCTCTACCATTCACTTTACTTGGTTTGGTTCCTCTTCATATAATGCTTCACCTTTCTTCACATGATTTAAGAATTAGGTGTCAATGGCAACTTCCAAAAGCCATTCTCCGATGGACTCAATGCTCTTTTATCTTGATTTCATAGCCTTCGTGCATACATTGTAGTTATCTGTTTATTTGTCCTTGTCTTCGTATAGATTTGTGCTGTAGGCACTAGCAGTAAGTGGCTATTTATTTTGGTATTGCCAGTACCTAGCATGGTTCCTTTTTATTAGTTTTTTAAATCACAGAAGTAACAGTTGCTCATCCCAAAAATTTTGAAGAAAAAAAAGGAAACATAAAATAGAACTTGTAAGTTTACCTTCACAATTTTACTCTTGTTTAGTGTGTATCTTTTCTGATCTTTTCTAGTGATTATATAGGTACAAATGTGCAAATGTGATTTGTTGTTTTGTTTTTAACAAATATATGTTTTTTTGCAGCTTGTATAATATACTTACTCCATTAAGTATAATATGCAAGCTGCAGAAAAAGTATATTATACTTTCCATGTCCCGTCCTTACCCTACCTCCTTCCCTAGAAGTAATCACTAGTTTGAATTTTGCGTTTCATTCTTTTTATTATTATATTATTACATATGTGCGTTTCAGTATATACATCTTCATGTATTGTGTGGCAATTTTTGGAAAGTGGTGCCATATCTTCCGTTATTTCAAATGGAAAAAAAGTGAATATCTAGCCCGCCCAAAATCGTAAACAGTTCACTAGGGATTTCTGCATAATATCAAGCAGTTAAAATATGTTGCCTAATTATTTAACACATACAAATGTATAACTGTGTTTCCGTTCAGTATGCAAGAGTATTATACAGTACTGTATTATGTATTGCAATGAAAATGTAGTGTAAATAAGCAATGAAGTACCCTGTTCTTTTATTCTAATTATACATTGTTGAAATTTTTATCTTCTGTCAGAGTGCATCTAACAGCTGATACGATATCTTACAGTCATAGTTGTAACATAGTAGCTTATAACCTTCTGGTGATGCCTTCTAGAGTGAATAAAAACAGCACTAGCATCAGAGCATTTTAGAATCTGTAGTACCTTAAAGTATGTTAAAGATAAATAATGAATGTAAAGAATACTTAAAATGAACAGGAATTAAAAAAAAATGAATACTTAGCAGTTGAACAGTAGTCAGAGTAGATTTGGTACCTAGAGCTGAAAGATGGAGGCTTTAGTCATTGTTGCTGTTTTAGTGTTATGTTAAGGTGAACAAGAGTGAGCTGGGGAAGAAATTCAAAAATAAATGCCTGAAACCAACAAACTGGTTCACAGTTTACTGTTGAAACTCTTGGAAGCAAATGGCTGTGACCTATTGTCTATAGCCAGAGATGAAGCAAGAGAGAGAAAAAACTCAAAATGGATGACTAAATTCTCTTTAGTTGAGGTTATACAACTCCTGCTAAAATGAGGTTGCTCTTAAATTACACCTTTGAATGGGATGCTTCTGCTCATGTCATTAGATATTCATTAGACCCCAACCTGGTCAGTAGAGGCTGCAGGGAGAACTCAAGCCCCTTTTTACTGTAGTAAAAATTGAGAGGTTTCTCCCTCAAAAGGAGTTCTGCTTCTTTTCCCAGCAATGATGTCAATAGACGTCATTTAGATACTATTGTCTTAAATTTTTTTTTTTTTTTTAATTTTTGACATGTCATTTATGGCTCCTCTTCTTCTTCTTCCTCTGGCCAACCGAGAGTATCAAGTTAAATGAATTCCCAAGTTCCTCATTGATTGGCTTATTATTACATGATGCTAACAATGTTAGCCGTTCTTTGAATACATTATATGTTCTAATACTTTTTTCCTCATCTTTTGAATTCATCAAATGAGGTGACATTTGTTTCTCAAAAAGCAAATTTCACCAATACATGATTTATGGCACCCTTAATGTCTCAGTGATTTTTTCAGTATCTCTATGCCAAAAGAAATACTAACAGCTCTGTTAAACCAAGTAATTAGGTTCAGGCCACTTAACAGCAGTTCACATGTTATCTGACAGCTACTGCTGTATTTCCTCAAGAAGATTTAAAATATCTGGAGTGTGTGTTCACTGTGTTGCTCTTTTGAGAACTAAGCCCTAGGCTTTTACACATGAAATAGTGTGTTCTTTTTCAGAAAATTATTTTACATTTAAGCAATTTGCTTCAATCATGAATATGGAATATATTCATCATTAATTAGAAAGGTAAAACAGTGTAAGTCTATGAATCAAAATACAGAAGTAAGCAAAGTTAGCTTTTAAATATATTCTAAGGCCTTGCTTAGATTCTGGGATGATTGTACCAGTGGTGGCAGCTAAGGTTTTTTTTTAAAAATCTTTCCGAATTTCTACATAAAGATAGAACAACTAGAGAGCAAAAAAATTGTAACAAAAGTTGGTGATGTATCTCCATGAACCCCAAATATAAGCAGGTGAGCACTAACAAAAAGACATGCATTTGTCAATTTTTGTGCATAAAAAAGTAGGGACAAGCATTGAGAGTCAGGACCTACAATTAGAAGCATCTCAAAGTTGTGAACAGCCCATTTGAAAGTGGTGTGTAATTAGCCAGTTTGAAATTGGAAGAGGGATTTGGCCCACTTAATTAATTAAATCAGTGTAAGAGACCCATGGTGAGGCCTAAAGTGTCTTGAGCAGCCTGGCTCTATGGACTTTCAAGACTGACCCGCCAAGACCTTGCTGAGGAGAAATTTCTGAGAGTGAAATCAAAATAGAGCAAGGTATGGACAACAACAACAGGAGAGAAAAGGTCTGGATAAAAGTGGAAGAGGGGAACAGAGCTAGAAAATCTCAGAAAACAAGCCTTTGTATTTTTAAACACTATACGAAGACAACAGAAGAGGGAGTTTTATAAAATTAGTTTTATGAACCAAGCCATAGTCTCAAAACTTAGGAAAATTAAATTTACAAAAGATCTTTGAAGAATGTTTGGGAGTGTTTGTGTCAATTTCGAGTCCTACCAGCAGTTTTTATATGATCTGACATTTCATAATGTCAGATTTTTAATTTTTAAGCAATTTATTGAGGTGGTGTTTGATCATATTTCCCTATTGAAATTAAGTAAATGCAAAAATTTTCCTATATCTTTTCAAAGATTTTTCATTTTGTCTTCATATTTAAATTTTATCCATCTGAAATTGATTTTTTTAATTTTATTTTTTTATGGTGACATCGGTTAACAAAATTAAATAAGTTTCAGCTGTACACTTTTAACAATAAGGCATATATATGTTTACCCTGCATGTTCACCTCCCATAGTTAGATTTCTTTCTGTCACCATATATTTGACCCCTTTTACCCCATCTATCCCCCATCCCCCACTGGTAACCACTAGTCTATAGTCCATGTCTGTGAGTCTCTGTTTGTCCTGTTTATTTGTTGCTTTTAGGTTTATATCACACATATAAGTGATATCATGTGATTTTCAACTTTTTCTGTCTGGTTTATTTCGCTTAGCATGATTATCTTAAGGTCCATCCATGTTGTTTCAAATGGCAGTATTTCATTTCTTCTTATGGCTGAGTAATATTCCATTGTGTATATGTACCACAGCTTCTTTAGCTAGTCATCTATCATAGGACACTTTGGTTGCTTCTGTGTCCTGGCCACTGTGAATAATGCTGCTATGAGCATCAGTGTGAAAATATCTTTTTGGATATGGGTTTTCAAGTCTGGGGTAAATACCCAGTAGAAGGATTGCTGGATCATATGGTAGATCAATTCTTAGCTTTTTGAGGAACCTCCATACTGTTTTCCATAGAGGC